ACTACAAAAGGGACAAACAAGTGGTAACAGCTGCCCAGCTAACACAGAAGTTGTGACGACGTCGTCAGGTAGTCGTTATTTGGTCAGCGTGACATTACTTTGTGACAACGTTGTGAGGACGTCGTGGTAAAGTTCCATTTTTTATAATCTTGGCTAACGTTCCAGAAACGTCGTGGGCACGTCCTCAAAAGACGTCGCTAGTTTATCCCATGGAAAACGTTGTAAAGACGTGGTCAACTGGTCACCAGAACTGGTCCTCACAACGTTGTAACAAAGTAATGACTAAATAAACAATGCAACTACACTAACAGGCTTTAAAATATTTATTGAAATAGGAAAATTAAAAGAATAAAAATAGTATTAAAAGCAGGACCAATAAACGAGGGGGGAGGGAGAGGGGGGATAAACTATTTTGGAGCAAAACACTGTTGTGTCATTAATCTTTCACCAATCTGTGTCTTTCCTGTAATGCTGACATTAACCTACCAGTAACCTACCATTACCATGACTTTTAAATACTGTCAATTTAATGTGTGCTTCATAATGTAAATCACAGTGCACATATTCATGCAATAGTGAAAGAATCCCCCATTGTGCAGATATTTTTTTAACCGATTAAACATTTGAAATAATGTATGCTTATTTGTGGTTATTTTTCATATATATATATCTTTGCATCCTCCCAGAGATGAAGTGCTGTGAAATAAATAATTGTCACATAGCAAATCTCCACACAAGCACATTAAATCAAGGTAAAACAAACTTGACTACAACTACAGCCAAAATGGAAAACCCTTTTATTGTTGCTAAGGGTTCAAAATGTAAGCAGAGTAATGCAAACAGAGATGCAGATCGACAGTCGCTGAATCGGATGAAAGCAATGACTTCAAGTGCAGAAGAGGCCAAAAAGGATGGAAACAAGTCCAATTGCTAAATTACTGGAAAAGAAAAACAAAAAAGATACAGGTAAGATATACATTCTAATGTAATCTTGGGCTATATCACATTCTACAACCATAATTTACATTTAATTTTAATTTAAACTGATAAACTATCAAAAAGTCAGGCTGTAAAAGGGGATTCATTTCAGTTTGACATTTCTAATCGTAAACACAGCCATGTTGAAGCCTGCAGTAATGCTTTTCATTGATGTTATCGCAGTCCACTCTGCTTATTGTTTTTTATACAATAAATATCACATTTGTAATCATGCTGATATTTAGGGAAAATGGCACTCTTTCTCATGTAATAAACTACATCATATGACAGGGCTATTCAATTAGCTTAATTCGGGGGCTGGATTATCAAATCGAAAAGCTGAGGCGGGCCGGTGGGTTAAAGGGATACTTCACCACTGGAAAGATGAATGTGTTTTTTAAATTGGGTTATTTATGTAGTAGAAATGTGAAATTATTTTAGAATTTGGTGCATTCTAGACTGAACAAATCCAGAAAATGTATTTTTTGGCTCATGTGGATGAAAGACAACAACTCCCAGAATGCACTTGCTTCGCTGCCCTATGAGGCCAGTCCCAAGCCACGCCTACCGGTTATAGAGGGCAGTATCGGAACTGGCTTACAGCTGTGCAGAACTTTTTCCTTGGAAATATATGAATTATACAAACTCATGCATAGGTAATAATTATTTCATTTATAATTATCATAGGCACAAATGAAAATATTCTGAGAGTGAGAGTTGGTAACCACAGGTAAAACCATGCATGGCTACTCGCTCACTACCACTGTATACAAAAAATGCCTAAACAAAGGTAAAAACTAGCAACATACACCGGTATTGCGGTATATTCAAAATTCAATTACTTTTAGTAATTTAAATGTTAAAAGTTTTACTTTGGTTAGTTTGAGCTTAAACTAACATAAAACATTAACTTTTATGTTATAGTGTTGCTAATAATTTCCACACTGATCTTACCAGATTTGTGTTTAAAATTAATTTTGTTTCGTGAGGAGAACAGTTGCAAAGCTTCAGTTTGATTGATATTACTTAAAATGGACAAATATATATATATATATAAGGTGTCAGGTAGTTGTGTGGCATTTTAATTTGCTTACCTACAGCTTCATCCTTCAAGCCAGGAAGTAAACTATGACACCAGGCACTCGAACACAGAAACAGAGGCACAGGAATGAGCATCAATTGTTAGGTTGCGTGAATGCACCCTCGAAACAATTTCCCCATGAACTATCCATGTATACACAGAGCAACAGCCTCAACATTAGCGGCCGAGTCATCATCATCACCCAAGATGTGAATACATTAATCCCAGCCAGAACATCTCCTGGTGGACGGCAGCATCCATCTTGCTTCAGCTGGACACTGGATCCCCTCTAATGTTTCTCATCATTTTCTTCCAATCCAGACATTCTTAACAAACTATAACTTACCTGTCATAATCCCCTGACCCGGCAAACTAAGTGCACTACTGGTGTGCTACATATGGCCTTCACCAAATTCCAACCAAGTTGCCTATTATATCATTATGTCCAGAGTGAGAGCGGAAATAAGACATTTAAAATGCATATAATGCTCCTCGTCAGTCATACTAAATAACTGCCATGACGGAATTAACGTTTGTTGCTTGAAGACGGTGGTGGATATAGACTGATATAGACCAGCTCGAGTAAGGATTGTTGTTCCAGTATTTTTAGTTTTTTAATTCAGGTCCATTACACCACTGTCCCCGCTAAAACATACAGTGACATTTGTGGTTAGTAAAGTTACGTTAGATGTGTACGGGATAATGTAGAGCGAGGCTGTTGTTGTGGCGAACACAACCCCGAGAGGCTGATCAGGACCCGGCGCGAACGGAGTGGTCTTGAATCCGCCTGAAGGGCTTGTATTCGCTATAGCAACAGCCTCGCTCTACAGTATCCCGCTTATTACATGGCTACCTAACGAATAAATCAATAATTTGACAAAATATTGATTTAAAAAGGATTTTATCCTCCAGAGCGAACAGAACTGTGTCCATGGCAAACGCTCTGTTTTTCATGGCAACGGTGTGTTATACTTAGACCTGAAATAATAGACCGTATACTACATTAGAATTCAACCAAGCCATGTAATAAATGAATATATTAACCTTTCGTCCACATATTAACCTTTCGTCCACAGCTAACGTTATACGCTGCGGGTGAAGTGCGCGAGACAAGTTACATTTCTTGGGCGAGCGACGCGCGAGATCATGCAGTGCAGAGCTGGCGAAGCACAATCTGTCGAAATAATGGATTCTTGAATAAAAGACAAGCTAACATTTGATGTAGTTATAATTAAACACATAATAAACGTTTAAATTATAAAACATCTTACCTTTTTACAAGTGTTTCTGTATTCGCAGTCTTCCAGCGATACGTCTACCGTTACCAGCCGTGTGTGTGTATAGGCGGATATGGCCCAAGTTCCTGTTCACCTGTGGGTTTACTGGCGGACACACACTATATGCATACCGCCACCTATTGTACTGGAGTTTAAATGAGGTCTATGGTTGAATACTGTGCAAACACACTGAAAAGTATTATTTAAGCGGACCATAAAAACAATAGGCGCCCCAGTGCAAGTAGCTTTTTGGCCAAGTCACAATAATACACCTTTGTTTGTAGAAAGATGTGGTTCACTTCATGAACTTATTACTACGGTCACAGTTGGGTGTGTAGACTGGGCAGACCATTGATTCAGCCTGAATTTGTATAAATACATATCTTTTTGGAATCATCTTTAACCCTTTACATTAACATGTAAATAAATTCTATTTTTATTCAAATTATACATTTAAACAAAAAAGAAATCTAACTAGGGACAATTTACAAATTAATACCGTTCGATGCATGACGTCATTTGCTCTAATGCGCTCTGACTGAGAGGGATAGTTCACACATGTGAACTCGTATAGCTTATTTTTCTTATTTTTAGATGTTATCATACAATTTATACATTTAAACCTTTTTATGATTTATAAAATAATTATTCTCTTCTCTTTTTCAGCTTCTTCAATTACCATCTGCTTGTTGTAAGTCATACATACCAGTCATCCTACATCTCAGATTTGCCATGTTCATTACGTTCTGATTAGTCTGTAAAGAAACATTTTAACTCGTATAGAGGCCCATCACACTCATATTCAGCCTTGTTTATTGGTTTTCTTTTTTTCTCTTTTTCTTTTTGCACGTGTCCACAGCAGCCCGATACTGTCCACCCCAAAAGTTCTTTTAAGAGCTAAGACTTTTAAGAGCTTTGGTTTCGTAAGTACATGTTTTGACTAACTATCAGACAAGTTTTCAGTATTTATTGGCATAATGCAGCATAAATGTAACATGAAACTTTAGGACTGTTACCGGGTTTGATTAATATATTTTTTAACTACTTTGTTTTATTAGATTTTGGATTGTCTTGCTCTGCCGCCTCAGTTTTAATTTCAAGGTAAGTAATATTACTTAGCTGCTCCTAAATGTGTTGTCAGTAATATATGTTGTATATTTTATTTTTAAACTTACATCGGATATTTATATTTGGTCATTTTTTTGCGATGGGACAACTATCCATACATAGGCTATTTATGTAGATTCAGAAATTAAGAGAACACTGCAAAACTTGATAAATAGATTTTTTTTTCATATATTTGCAATTTCAATATGTTCAATATGTAGCAAAGTAACATTTTGCCAATTAATATCTATTGCAAGTGCCTAAAAATAACAAGCCATTCACATTGATGTGTTGCAGTTTTTGTCCATAAGTTCTTTCATTTTGCCTTCAACACTACAAGGTAAGATATTTACAAATGTACATTAACATGTTCTTTCTAGTAGGATTTGGTTTTAGTGCTGAACGATTACAAAAATACAATATTTAAAAATAAAATCTGATAATCAGTGATCCCTAAATATTTAAGAAAAATAAGCTTGACAATTTAACTAACTGGAAAGCTCAGATTGGGTAAAAAAGGGTGTACAAATTAAATATAAATTAAATAAATGCTACTCTCCTAGAATGAGCTCTGAAAAGAGAGAGATGCACAGGACATATGTGCATGCTTGGAGAACCACAAGGCAGGCATTGTCCAGATCGCCATCTCACCTGGAGACTAATCCAGCCGGTGAAGTACAATCACTTGATCTTCCACTTGAAGAACAATCAGAAGGTGCTGACGGAGTAGTAATGTCAGTGGATATGGAGCAGAATTGTGGGGGATATTCATCTGACACTGAACACCATTTGCACTCTGAAAATGCAAGAGAACAGCCAATAGCAACAACATGGGAGGTAATTAACAGCTTGAATGAATCCTTGGCGTTTCACCTTGAAGACGACGACAGTGAGGACATGTCACTGGCAGAAGAGCTGTCCACTTGGGCCATTGAATACCAGATAAAACACAATGCACTTGACAACCTTCTTAAATTGTTAAAAAGGCATGGACACAGTGAATTACCCTCAACTGCCCGGACCCTTTTGCACACTCCCCGGCAACTTGACACACAGCAATCATCTGGAATGGAATACGTTTACTTTCCACTAAAACAGAAATGACAAGAAACGTTAGAAAGTTACCCACTTGATGAAGTAGTTAATCTCCACTGTGTTGATTTATCCCTGAACGTTGATGGATTACCACTGTACAAAAGCTCCAAAACATGTATGTGGCCAGTCCTTTGCGCAGTCATGCTAGATCCTGTTACCATTTCCCCCACGGCTCTGACATGTGGTGCAAGTCGACCAACAGATCTTGGCTTTTTGGAAGACACAGTATGGGACCTGGTCATCTGATGAATGACGGGATTACCTTCATGGGAAGAAAAATAAAAGTCAATCTGAGGTGCTTTGTGTGTGATGCTCCAGCTCGTGCATTAGTGAACAATATTAAACTGTATTCCGGGTACTTTGGCTGTGACCGATGTGAGCAAAAAGGTGTGTGGTTAAACAGAGTCACATACCAAGAGACTGCTGACCTCATACTCCGGACAGATGAAGCATTCAGGAACCAAACACAGTTTCAGCATCACCATGGGAACACACCTGTGTCTCACCTCCCCATAGACATGGTGCGGTGCTCTCCCATTGAGTACATGCACCAGGCTTGTCTCGTGTAGTGTACTTACACTTCCTTTCTTTCAGTGTGGCCATGGCAATCCTAGTATGTCCAAGTCTTGTGCAGGAACTTTCCAAATATGCCAATGAACTGCTGCAATACTTTGTGGAAAAAGGTAGGACACTCTATGGACAGGAGTTCCTCGTGTACAACACCCATACCATGCTGCACATAGCAAGTGATGCAGAACACTTTGGTTGTCTGGAAAATTGTAGTGCCTTCATGTTTGAAAACTACCTGCAGTCACTGAAGAAGATGGTGCGTTCTGGCAGACACCCACTGATTCAGGTTTCTAAGAGGCTGGAAGAGATGAGCAAACAGAAAAAAACTCCAAACAATACAAATGTACAGAAAATATCCCCAAAGGCCCGAGACTGTGCATACATCCTCAGTGGGGGCCAATGCTGTGAGGTTCTTCAAGTGCCAGACAAGGAAGAAAGAGTGCTTTGCCGTGTGTACAGTAAACCGTACCCTCTGGTCCAGAGCCCATGCACGTCATTTTTGATTGGTGCCTACACATACAACCAAAAAAACAACACTATCAAATGGATTCCAACATCAGAACTCACAAAACATGTGATAAAGATGAATGCAGAAGACAGGAGTGTGATTTTTCTGTCATTGCTCCACAAGTTATAATCAAAGGTAATAGGTTGTCATATGATGTGATTTGAGGCGATTGGTAAACATAATTAGCTTCTTTTCCATTTATAATGATTTTTCTTGCTTCTTGCAGAATGTTTGCAATAGTTGAATTTTTGGAGGAGGGGACTTGTGATTTGGTACTACAGACCTGGCTTTTTGAAGAAGATGAGGTATTAAATCTCACTTGTATCAACAACATACATTTACAAATATCTTTACATTCACCAAGAAAATCAAAATGGAGAATTCTTTCTTTTATGGAACATAACAGTGCATCTTTAAAATTATTCATGCACATTTTTTGTAAAGCGCTTTTAATCTTTTTTTTTTTACAAAATGATTTACATGCCTTCATTGTAAGGACAACTCTTCTCTTTTTTCCCTCATCTTTCTCTTTTCAAATTTACCACATTGTTCTCCCACCGAATGTTACTTCAATTTAGCATGTTTTGAGTACAATTCTCAATTATTAACATTTACATCTAACTTTTTACTTGAGTTAGATTTTCAGTTACTATTGCTTTCATATTACAGTTTGAATTCATTTTACTTTAAAGGACCATTCAAACAAAATGTTAGTGCAACTACTGTTAAGCAATGCTAAATTATACTCACTGTGTTTTTACTTCAGGTGACTATGAAACTGCTGAAAGTGGCCCAAAAGAGCAGCTGTGCAGTCTTCTGTGGAGAGCTCCGGTGACGTTCCCAAGAGGAGAAAACACCAGTGTGTCTCAGCAGCTCCGATGAAGGTATGAACCTGAGCATGTGAAAAAAAGTTTACAAGTAAACAATTAAAGTAATTCAAAAATCTTTTTTTTTTTTTTTTTTTTTTTTTTTTTTAAAGATACTTCTTCAGTCCCTCACCCCAAAAAGAAGAGCCGGGTGAACTGTACAACAACTGGTAGGCCTTTCTTAGTTTTAATTATTTTACTTTACCACTTGTGCACATTTTCATATTAAAAAGTGTTTGGGGGTTTTCAGAATACCAAAATTTCATTAGTTGATTGATACCAATACCAGTACATTTCATTTCTAATTTACAGTGGAACCTCAGCTGCCATTTCCCCCAGCATTTAAACCAAACAAACAAACCACACTAACGCAATCAACACCTGAAGATTATACAATTCTTGATGCATCATTAAGACCAGCGCCTCCTAGAGACATCCCGAAGAATGGTAAATGCAAAACATAATTAGAAACTTAGTTGTTACCTTTATTTGAATGAATCAATCTTGATTCTCCCAGATCACCTCCTGAGCCTACTCACTCGGAGAATCATCAGCATTCTCATTCTACATTTGAGTTCTCAGAAGAGGAGAAAAATAAAATACAAGTACTAAAAGACAAGTTTAAAAATTACTGAGAGCCTCGAAAAAACCTACCGTACATCAGACATGTGTTTTTCACGAGATCGCAAGGGCCGGCTGAAACAATCGACATGTATGTCACTGATCTGAAAAGCAAAGCTAAAGACTGTGAGTTTGGTGATCTCCACGATTCATTAATTCGTGATAGGATTGTATGTGGCATAAGAGAGGATCAACTAAAAGGCAGGCTTCTAAGAGAAACGGATCTCACATTGGAAAAGGCCATAGACATTTGCAGGGCCAGCGAGATCACGTCGAGTCAGATGAAAGCACTCAATGATGAAGTAACTACACAAAGTTGAATCCATAAAGCCAAAGAAAAGAGACACCAAATCAGAGCAGACGTCAGTGATGAGAAAGGAATGCAGTAATAAGCACGAGTACAGAAATGCCCAGCCTACGGGAAAACATGCAAGTCTTGTCAGAAGAAAAATCATTTTGCAAAGATGTGTAATTCCTAAGACCTGCAGAGTCAGAGTAAAAGAATGCACGTGATTGAACAAGATGGTAACATGTTTATTGGTACAGTAACAGTGGAAAAAGAAAGAAATGTAATGTCCATCAACTTAAGTAATGAGGATGAACAATGGATCGAGACAATCCAGATAAACAAGAATGATGTAAAAGTGACACTGGATACCGGAGCTGAATGTAATGTCATGTCAGAAAGTGTGTACAAGTTGCTAAACACAGCAGGGAGACTGCAGAGGTCCAGCTGCAAACTTGTTACATATTCTGGACACAAGATGGCGCCATTGGGCAAGAAAGCACCAAATTGTGTGTACAAAGGACAGAAATACAAAATCCTGTTTGAAATAATGAAGCATGATGCACCTGTTATTCTAGGACGATCTGCATGTCAAAAAATGGGCATGATTAAAAGACTGTGTGAAATTGAAAAGAGCAGAGACATTCTCAAGGATTTTGACGATCTATTTGAAGGACTAGGCTGTTTACCAGGAGAACACCACATACAAATTGATCCAAATATCAGACCAGTTGTGCATGCGCCGAGAAGGATACCTGTAGCTCTGCGAGAGAAAGTGGTTGAAGAACTAAAGAATGGAGCAGATGGGGGTCATCGCAAAGCAAACTGAGCCAACTGAATGGGTCAACAGCATGGCAACTGTAGTTACATCGAAGAAAATGCGCATTTGTATGGATCCTAAAGATCTTAATCTGGCAATAAAAAGAGAGCATTATCCAATGCTGACAGTAGAAGATGTGGTCTCAAGAATGCCGAATGCAAAGCACTTTTCTGTGCTAGACTCGAATCAAGGGTTTTGGCAGATAAAGCTGGATCATGAAAGCTCAAAGCTTTGCACAATGAACACACCAGTTGGGCGATACCGTTTTCTTAGGTTACCTTTCGGTATATCATCAGCGTCAGAAGGCTTTCAGAGATCCATTGCACAAATGATAGAAGGACTGGAAGGAGTGGTAAATATCATCGATGACTTGCTGGTGTGGGGAGATGCCATTCAAGAGCATGATGAACGGCTCATAAAGCTGCTGGAATGTGCAAGAAAAAACATTTAAAGCTGAACAGGAACAAGTGCAAAATAAGAATGACGGAGATCAAATACATAGGACACACACTGAGTGCTCAAGGAGTTAAGCCAGATGAAGGAAAAGTAAGGGCAGTGACTGAAATCCCACCACCACAAAGCAAGCCAGAACTGCAAAGATTTCTGGGAGTGGAGCAATATCTGGCAAAGTTCATTCCCAATATGTCTGACATAAGTGCACCTTTGAGGAAATTGCTGGAGAAAGAGACAGAGTGGCACTGGGAGGATGCTCAACAGCAAAGTTTTGAAAAACTGAAAATATTTGGTTACTCAAAGTCCTACTTTGAAACTCTGTGATGTGAGCAAACCGGTCACGTTGTCGGTAGATGCCAGTTCAGAAGGACTAGGAGCTGTGATTCTGCAAGAAGGAAGGCCAGTGGCTTACGGCTCGAGAGCTCTGAACGACTGTCAGCGTAGATACGCACACATTGAAAAGGAGTTGTTGGCCATAGTTTATGGTTGTGAGAAATTTCACCAGTATGTGTACGGAAAGGAAATCATGATTGAAAGTGATCACAAGCCATTAGAGAGTAAGAAGCCGCTGCATCAGGCTCCTATGAGATTACAAAGAATGCTTTTACGGCTACAGAGATACAATCTGAAGGTGATGTACAAACCTGGTAAGGGACTATACATAGCAGATGCTCTAAGTCGTGCATATTTACACGAACAGAAGGAAAATCTGCTGGAAGAGGATCTAGCAGTGAACTGGATTACGTCACAACTTCCTATTTCAGAAGAAAAACTGGATGCTTTCAGAAAAGCAACAGCAGAGGATGCAGAGATGCAAATGTTAAAAAAGGCAGTGCTGAATGGATGGGTGAAAGAATGATCTATGATGCCAAGATCATTACAGGAATTCTGGACATATCGAGAGGAAATCAGTTATGAAGATGGTCTGTTATTGAAATCAAATAAGCTCATTGTTCCAAATCAGCTGAGACAAGAAATGATCAACAAAATACATGAGTCACACCTGGGAATTGTCAAATGTAAGGCAAGAGGCAGAGACATTTTGTACTGGCCCGGTATGTCGATTGTTATGTTGTATATGCATTGTTGGTTGGGTAATGGGTTGAAATGCAATTGTTTATAAGTATAAATGCATTTGTGAAAATGTGTTGAATAATTTTGCAGTTATGCTGAAAGTTTGTTAAATGAAACTCAAATGTTGTGTTTAAAAGATTGTGCAGTAGTTCTATGCATCAGTATAAAGGAATATACTTAACAAGGGGGATGTAATATATTAGATATGTTATACATATATGAGGTCATGAGGACATCTAGTGGTCATCTGATATAATGACATCCAGAGTCACGTGTGTATGTTTTGTTACTGGAGTATAATAAAGTTGGTTTATGATGTTCGTCTGTCGGTCTAAAGAACAGAACACTATTAGCTAACATGATTAGCGCATCTCACCTCGTCATAATGTACATATAGTTGACATCTGACAATCAACAAATACAATATTAGAATGAAAGATATGATTCATGGTTACTCACACAGCGCAGCTGAAGTGTTTTCAACATCCATTGGTTCACGCCGCCACTGTGATGAAGTGTGAAGAGAACTGGTGTTCTCACGTAATCCCTATATCCTATTTTTTAATCCACTAATACTAATAAACTCACTATTGCATGTATTTGTTTGCTGCATTTGAGCCATTTAGCCATACAATTACTGGATTTATAGTATATTTATAGTTATCTTACATGATTAATATAGGCCTAATGAAACCATCATATTTTAAATAAATTATATTGACCAGCTGAATCTAACAATTAATTTCAACAAATGTAAAAGTCAACTGAAAAAAATGATGTGCAATTAATTGTATAAAACTGAAATATACTTTTCATTTTGCAGCAGCAGGACCAGAGAAAAGGTGTGCAGCAGAATGATGACGATGATGAAACACTCCTACTTTTTGAAGACGAATAAATACTTTTTGATTCATTAGAAATTTTCATTGGTTTTCATTTTTTTTCCCTTAAAGTAAGATCAAATTAATTCAAATTAATGTATATGCCAAATTTTCACTTCTCAATAACTTTGTTGTTAACTTTTAAAATATATATATGTTAAAAATGATATGTTAATTTTTTATTAGCTTAATGTGGAAAATGTCATTAACTGCTGATTAATAAATTATATAAATGTTTTCTAGTTGATTGATTCTTGAGGCACACGTGTGTAACACATTGATGCATGCGGTGCATATAGGCTACACACAATCGTACAGGTAACAAACACACTTCCTGATTAGAAAGCAGGGTTGTTGTTTTTTTACGTGATTTTGGTCGTTGCTACAACTAACACGGTCCTTTGATGTTACGTCCTCACAACATACCAGTTTAGTCAGTGAGACGTACTCATCACTCCCTTGCGACGTACCACTATAACGTCGCCACGACGATTATGGGAATCACAAAGTTACGTCGCTGGAGCGTTATGTGGTTCGTCGCTACGACGAATATGGTCTGGTCCGGTTACGTCTTCACAACGTAACTGTGTTAGCTGGGGATGTCAGCCATTTACAATATCCAGCATCTTAGATAATAGTCATGAAACAGGGAATATAGCAGATGCACTGTTGAAATGTCTATTTAAGAGGTTTTAAAAAGGATTTAGAGATATATGTGGTATAATATCCCGCTCCAGTGCAGTAGGTGTCGGTGTGACACTGTTCAGCTGTTCCAAACCCTCCTGTAAAACACACGAAGAAGAGCAAAACGAAAGGAACACCTGTCCACACCTAAACCTGTCGCTCACTGGATCTGATCTGATCTATAATCCAGAAAACATTTCGACAGAATTGTTTTCCTTTTCTTTTTTCTCTTTTTAATATAGGCTAATTATTTTTCCTTTGATATCATTGCCTCACACTCCATTCCAGTAGGTGGCGGAATGTGGACCATAAACTGGTTTGCCAACCGCCATTAAACATCTAAAGAAGAAGAAGAAGAGGAAAACGAAAGTAACAGCACATAGATATCTAAACCTGTCGCTCATTGGATTTGATTTGATCTATGATCCAGAAAACATGTCTACAGATGTCAATTTAGCACAATGCCTACCAAATCTAATAACACTCGCGGCCATTTATGTGTTTAATCCACAATCCATCGAGACCAGCGAGAGATTCTGAGAACGACGCGCGCGGACTGACAACAAGCGTTACTGAGTTTACAATACTGATAAATTCTCTTTTTAGTGGACAAGACTGCAAGTAAGTTTAATACACTCTCCATTAAAGTCATTTGTAATTATTAGGAACTTCATATTGTATATTAAGCGAGATTTAAATGTGAAGTTACAGAAGGCTGTTCTGCTACTCCGAACAGAAGAAGAATCTGCCAGAAATTACAATCTTTTGAAGTAAAAACACAAAAAGATTTATTGAGAAAGGTTTATTCAACACACATAATATGTTTCTGAAAGTTTTCTCCCATTTCCTCTTCCGTGTTAGGCTGTTGTTTTTGTGATGTGAAATCGAAAGTATTTATGAAGCAGACATTTACAGTAGACAGACAGATGAAGCCTAACGTCAATCAACAACAATCTGATATATATATATATATATATATATATATATATATATATATATATATATATTTATATATTTTAGTTCATATATAGCAATTATGATTAGTAGTTATACAGTATGACTATTATAATTCTGGTTACTTTTACTTAATCAGTTATTTTAGGATCATTTGAAAGTAATGAAATCAACCATAATTGTGAACTTGAAGTAATAATTAAATGACAGACGATTCAACAATTAATAAAGATTGGGTAAATATGATTGTAGAATGATATTATACTGTAATAAAGAATATATCAAATTGGGTTCAGTTTTCCCAGCACAGTGTACATTTCTGTTCCCCAATGAATTCATATTTAGAGTCAGTTAAACTCATTAAACAATCAGAAATGATTAAGACCATTCGGTTATTTTACATGGCAATATATTTGTTTGTAACTCACTTTATTTGATAGATTGTTTTTGCTGTTGCTGTTGTTGATGATAACTCTTTATTCTTCATGATTGTCTTCAATAAGATGTTGTTGATGTGTGTAAATGTTGTGATGTGCAGGTGATGCTGAAGGATTGAGTGTTTTCAGAAAGCAGTGCTGGTCAGTTTTCAGGGTCAGTTTAGCTGCAGTATGTCAGAGGAAAGAGGAAAGGACTCTCTCTCTCAGATGAGTCTCTCAGAGAAACACAGGTGAGACTGCGTCTGTTTTCACACTCTCAGTTTAAACTCCACTGGACTTTGTGTTTCCCTGTCAATAACACAACTTTAAGCATTGTTTTATATTTGCAAATGCTTTGCACAACTTCAATTTTGAACTTCTTAAATTAACACTGACATTGTCTATAAAGCCCTGTTTGCTCTATAGAAAATATCACAGTTAATAATTTGTTAATAATCTTCTAGACGCTGAATTAATCCAAATAAATGACTTTAGTTTTTAGATTATAAAATTATTGATAGACATTAGAAAACGACTATACACTTACTTTAATTCAAGTATGCTAACAAAACTGTGTCACACAGACATTTCTGTTCTCTATTTCTGTCAATAAATAAAAACATTGAAATGTTCTCTTAAATTATGGTCAAGTATTTTTTAACATGTTTAATCTCACTAAATGTATATTAAAGAAATTGTTAAACTAATGTGAGCCAGTAAATAAAATGATGGTTAACTATAAAACTGTAAATTGTGTGAGTGTGTGTGTTTCTGTGGAGGATTAGATAAAGACACAGATGTGTTTCAGACACAGTTGATCCTCCTTTACTAAAGTGTTTTCTCTCTCTCTCTGTTCTTTGTGTCATCAGTGTAAGATCAGGCTCACATGTGTCCAGCTCTGTGTCTCTGAAGAGTGATCGCTCTAAAGATGGAGAAGGACCAGACTTTAGTGAGGAAACACCATCATCTAATGAAAGGTATTTTTTGTTTACATTACATTATAGGGTTGTATTATTTGTCCACAGTAGTTTATGTGATTGAACTTGACTGAATAAAACAATAAATCACAATAAAACTCAATTCCTGGGAACCTTATGAAACTCATTCCAGTAACACACACACGCAGGATGACACGCACACACACCCATGCAGGATGACACGCACACGCAGGATCACACACGCACACGCAGGATGACACACACACACACACACACACACACGCAGGACGACACACACACACACACACGCAGGACGACACACACACACACGCACGACGACACACACACGCAGACACACACGCGCACACACACACACACACACGGGCAGGATGACACAAACACACACGGGCAGGATGACACACACACAGGATGACACACACACACACAAGCAGGTTCACACACACACACACACACACACGGGCAGGATGACACAAACACACACGGGCAGGATGACACACACACACAGGATGACACACACACGCAGGATAACACACACACACGCAGGATAACACACACACACACACACACGCAGGATGACACACACACACGCAGGATGACACACACGCAGGATGATACACACACACACACACACACACACACACACACACACACACACACGGGCAGGATGACACACACGCAGGATGACACACACACATGCAGGATGCAGGGTTCCCGCGGGGTCTTAAAAAGCCTTAAAAGCATTGAATTTATCAATTTGGAAATAATACCTTAAAAAGTCTTTAAAAAGTCTTGAATTTTGATGTCTGGGTCTTAAAAATCGTGTTGTATGTCAGTGTTCATTTCATTGACTAAAATAATAACTTTTCTTCAACGACATTTTTCACTGACGAAAACGAGACGCTACTTAAATAAAACCTAGTTTTGAATGACAAAAACTATGACGAAAATCTATCGACATTTTCGTCAAAGAAAAATGTTAGATAGTGTCGATCTGGGAAGCGATCCAGTCAGAACTGATGTCCTGCGTGTGTGGTAGATGCGCACATTTGTACTGTAACGTGCTGATCTACCCCGCGGTCTCATAAAATGTTAAAAATGTAAACCAACCACGCACCAACCCGAAGCGTGGAGCCATGCACATATACACCTATACAGCGGCGGGTACTGCACTGAGCTCTCTTTCGTGTCTGAATGGACAAATACACACAACATTATGTCTAAATGTCCGGTTTGGAGAGTATTCATGTAAACTATGTCGGTTATGTCTTAAACAGTAACATCGGGTGTGCATCAGTGCAATCGTATCCGCATGTCATTGGACATGAGCCGATGTCTTAAAGTGACAGTGGCAATAAACATAATGCGGTCTGTGTCATTAATTTTGTTCAAGCAACAAAAGAAAAAGAGAAAAGCATTCACTATTTGTTAATAGCTTTATTAAGGATTAACTATATTTAATTCATACAAATAATTGTCTGCTTGAAAGAATAAAGAATTATGTACCGGTATGTAAGTTGTTATAAAGAATGCATATATCATTCATTGAAAAGAAGACTGTGTTTTACTTTAGGAAAAGTGGTTTTATTTAATTTTAAGATTTTTTTTTTTAAGTCACAGTAGTTAAAACTGTATCTGTATTGCTTGTTGAAACTTAAAAATCATTCATATTAATAGGTTAATATATGTTTTCTCTGGGTGTATATGGGTTTGGAAATTCTAGAGAAATTCTAAATTAACACATTACAATTTACCTAAACCCATTATATTTTAGTCGACAAAATCTACTGTAGATTTAGTTTACAGTAGATTTCGAAAATCTTAAAAAACTAAAATCTAAAATCACTCAAATCTTATTGTATTTCGTCAATTAAAACTAGACTAAAACTAAAACAATTCAGATGACTAAAATATTAAAAAATTAGTTTGTCATATTTTTAGTCAAAAGACTGAGACTAAAACTAAATAAAAATTTGCTGTCAAAATTAACACTGCTGTATGTAACTTCTCCGTATTGTATTTTTCCTCAAAAGTTTAATTTGTCAACCACGATTATTATTATGATTTTCGATGTTTATTGTTCAGGGGTCTCTCAGTTCCCCATATTCCCAGCATGGAAAAAGTAGCTAGCTAATGTTAAAACACAACTTAACATTGTTCGGCAAACTTTCTTTTGGCCTACTGAAATGTTTTTATTTTTCACACCTGCTTGGCTTATCATCTTTTACCCATTCCACATTTGAAAAATAAATTAACACAAGTTGAAGGATTTTGTTTTTCTTTGCTGGTAGGGATGTGAAATAGGTATTAATTTTTTAATAAATGGTCTTAAAAAGACTTGAATTTAACTTGAAGAAACCTGTAGGAACCCTGAGGATGACTCACACGCGCACACACACAGAAACCCACAGCTATACTGCATTTGATTACTATTTGCAACATTAAACCTTTTCAAATGAGACTGTAGTATCTCCTTTACTAAAGTGTTTTCTCTCTCTCTCTGTTCTTTGTGTCATCAGTGTAAGATCAGGCTCACATGTGTCCAGCTCTGAGTCTCTGAAGAGTGATTGCTCTAAAGATGAAGGACCAGACTTCAGTGAAAAAACACCATCATCTAATAAAAGGTATTTTGTGTTACTCATTTTTTGTCGCACATTGACTGTGTTTAAAAGTTGTATTAGTGAATACCAATCATGAAACATGTTTAGATCAAATATTTGTCAGAGTATTCACAGCTAATGCTTATTTCTCTTTCTGTAAAATATCAGTTAGTATTTTATTTTACTAATGTGATTACAGGCTTCAATATGAGACATTCGACTCAGACCTTCAGACTCACAGGAACCACGAGAATTTCAAAGACAATCTTCTTGGGATCTTCCAGGTAGGAAAACACATTTTTATTAATGTTTAATATTTCTAACAAACAAATATGTTATTGAACAAAGAAATTTAATTACATTTTTCTTCATCTCCTTTTTTTCCTTTTAAACTCATTTTAGCACAACTTGGTCAGCATGTTAGTCTTTTAACTGGATTTTTTTATGTACATGTATTATAATTATTGAATAAATAGTGTTGACCAAATGTAGATGTACAATTTGGCTTAAATTGTGTTATTCTGTCTTTTCTTTTACTTTTGTTTGTAGGATCTTGAGAGCAAAATAATCACGTTTCTGAAGAATGAGCTGGAGAAGTTAAAGAAAATATTACAACATGAGAACACACAACACTTTGTGAAGGACTTTAATGAGAACAGATCCAGTATCAAATCAGCAGCTCTTGATCTCACACTACATTACCTGAGAGAGATGAAGCAAGATGAAGCTGCTGATGCTCTAGAAGGCAAGAGACTCGTGATCATCTGTCTGATTATCTGGTAACACTTTACAATACGGGTGCACTAATAAGCATTAATTCATGCTTAACTTATGCACAGATAATACTGAATTAATGTGTAACTAATGATTATCTAAGCTATTCATTAATGATTACCAGATTAGGAACTAATTAAGAGTCTGAATGGTTAATGTATTAGTTCATACATGAATTGTTATTAATTAAATATGTAATTGTGAATTAATTTCCTTAATAACTCATTTTTTTAACTAATAGTGTTAATTAATATGTTAATTACCAGAATGAGCCAAAGCCTTGTATTTCAACTTCCAGATAATACAGGTACACTAATATGGATTAATACATGATTAACTACTTCATTGTTAGTGCAAATTCATGTGTAAATTACTACAGTTACTAAATGACTAGGTAATAATGATGTGCCTCAACAAGTAAAGTCATAACATAATGATACCTTTGCAAATCATTAGCTAATGATTAATTAAAGCAGACAACTGGAAGTTGAAGTGCATAGCTTTGACTAATTGTGGTAATTAACACATTAATTTACACTATTAGTTAATAAAATAGGTTATTAAGGAATTAATACACAATGACACATTGAATTAATAGCAATTCATGTATTACTTAATCTATTAATCATATCAATTCAATTCAATTCAATTCAAAGAACTTTATTTATCCGTTAGGAACTTCATTCGTGTTGAGCATCAACATGCGTGTACAGTTGCACAAACATAGCACAGTCTACCACACTCACATAAGTAATAAATAGTAATAAATAAATAAAGCTTGCAAAGCACAATAAGTACATGATAAATAAGCAGTAGGCATAAAAAGGTTACGTTTAAAAAAAAAAAAAATAAAAAATAAAAAAAAAATAAAATAAAAAAAAAATAATAAAAAAAAAAAAAAAAAAATTAAGAAGAGATAGATAATTCACAAATCCGCACATACAGACATGCATCATGGTGAATAAATTTATCAACTATTCATATTTCTAATAGAAGTAGGCACAAAACTTGTCATGGCTCTCTTAGTCCTAAATAAGAGTGATCTGTATCTCAGACCTGAGGGTAAAATACTATAGTGACTGTGCAATATATGAGTGGTGTCAGAGGCTATTTGTATTCCTTTTATTTTTGTCCTCCTATTGTAAATACTGATAAGTGATTCTTGCACCTGTCCGGTTATTTTACTACTCATTGTTATGAGTTTGTTTAGTGTGTTACGATGAATATTGGATAGTGATCCAAACCAGGCTGATATGTTAAAGGTTATTACAGACTCAATGAAGCATTTGTAGAAAGCTATCAGGACTGACTGGTGAACCTGAAGTCTACGGAGCTTCCTCAAGAAAAAGAGGCGCTGCTGACATTTAGAAAAAATGTTTTCACTGTTTAGTTGGAAAGTAAGTTTATGGTCGAGTATTGTCCCAAGGTATCTGTATGATTCAACCCTTTCTATTGGCTGGTTGTTGACTAACAAAGTGGGAATGATGGAAACATCTTTACGAAAGTCAACAACCAGTTCCTTTGTTTTAGAGGGGTTGAGGTCAAGACAGTTCTGCTTGCACCATTCCGCAAAGAGTTCCATCTCGGTCTGTAGCTCTCGTAGTGAGTTAGTGGTATCCATGATCACAGTGTCATCAGAATATTTAGTGTATATAATACCTGGGTTATTGCTCCTACAGTCATTAGTGTATAGTGTATACAAAACCGGTGAGATTACAGAGCCTTGTGGTGCCCCAGTGGAAACTGTCTTAGACGAACTGAGGTGACCGTTGACTCGGACCCTCTGGTGTCTATCTGTCAGAAAAGACAGGATCCATAGGATAAGATGCGGATTCACGTCCATTTGGAGCAGTTTTTGTCCCATCAGGTGGGGTTGCACTGTATTAAAAGCACTCGAGAAATCCACAAAAACCAGTCTGATGAATGACCTGGGCTTTTCAAGATGGGAATAAGTGCCATGCAGCAGTGTTAGAATGGCATCATCCACACCTCTGTGCCGTTTGTATGCAAACTGAAGGGGGTCAATGTGCAAACTGACCTCCTCCTGAAGCTGTGAAAGAACAAGCCTCTCAAAGCCTTTCATTATCAAAGATGTTAAAGCCACAGGCCGATAGTCATTGTTGCAGGTGGGATTGCTCTTTTTGGCTATTGGACAAATGACTGAAGATTTCCAGATTGATGGGATTGAATGGAATATAGACTCTTTATTAGTTGCTGATGCAGTAATCATTAATTAATGGTTTAGTTCTTCATGAACCATACAATAACTCATGATTATCTAAGCATTAGTTAAATATGAATTAATGCATATTAGTGCACCCGTATTGTAAAGTGTTACCGATTATCTCTTATAAATGTAGGAGAGAAAATGAAGACTAAAACTATCTATTGTCTGTTCCTGTGTTTAGATGAGCTGTTCTTCATTCATCAGCTGAAATGTGGCCTAAAGAAGAAGTATCAATGTGTGTTTGAAGGAATGGCGAAGCAAGGTGACTCCACACTCCTGAATAACATCTACACAGATCTCTACATCACTCAGGGTGGCAGTGAACAGGTCAATACTGAACATGAGGTGAGACAGATTGAAGTTGCTTCCAGACGTCATGAAGCACAAGAGATACAGGTTGAATGCACACATTTGTTTGAAGCGCCTGAACAAGACAAGGAGATCCGAACTGTACTGACAAAAGGAGTCGCTGGCATCGGGAAATCAGTCTCTGTGCAAAAGTTTGTTCTGGACTGGGCTGAAGGAAAAGAAAATCAAGATATCAGCTTCATATTTCCTCTTCCATTCAGAGAGATGAACTTAAAGGAGAAAGAAAAACTATGTTTGATGGACCTTATAACTCAATTTTTCCCAGAGACAAAAGGACTGAACCTTACAAGAAGGAATCAGTTCAAAGTGCTGTTCATCCTTGATGGACTGGACGAATGTCGCCTTCCTCTGAAGTTTGATTGTAATGAGACGTGGCGTGATGTATCGTCACCAGCCTCTCTGGATGTTCTCCTAACGAACCTCATGAAGGGAAATCTGCTTCCTTCTGCTCTCGTCTGGATCACCAGCAGACCAGCAGCTGCCAGTAAGATTCCTCCTGACTGTATCGACCGGCTGACAGAGATACGAGGATTCAGCGACGCACAAAAGCAAGAGTACTTCAGAAAAAGATTCAAGGATGATATTCAAGCCAACACAATCATAGATCATGTTAAACAATCAAAGAGTCTCTTTATCATGTGCCACATCCCAGTCTTCTGCTGGATTTCAGCCACTGTTCTCCAGAACATTCTGCAGGAGAAGAGAAATAATGATGTGAAAAACACTCAGGCTGATGAGATCTCTAAAACACTGCAGGAATCAAACACTGAAGACACTCCCAAGACTCTGACACAAATGTACACACACTTTCTCCGCTTTCAGATCCAGCAGAGCCGCCGAAAATATGATGGAGAATACACACCAGATGTTTCCTGGGATAAAGACGCCATCCTTTCACTGGGGAAACTGGCATTTCATCATCTGGAAAGAAACAACCTGATCTTCTATGACACAGACCTGGAAGCCTGTGGTGTTGACGTCTATAAGGCATCAGTGTACTCAGGCATGTGTACCCAGATCTTTAAGGAGGAAACAGGGATCGTTCTTGGTACCATGTACTGCTTTGTTCACTTGAGCATTCAAGAGTTTATTGCAGCCCTTTATGCACATCTGTTTCTAGACATCAACAAGACAAGTGTGTTTGATCATGAGTCTACAGAACAGGAGAACCGAAATGAAACCATGATTGATTTTCTCAAGACTGCAGTGGACAAGGCGCTGGAGAGTGACAATGGACACCTGGACCTTTTCCTTCGCTTCCTCCTCGGTCTGTCACTCCAGTCCAATCGACGACTCTTACGAGGTCTGTTGACACAGCGAGACGGCACTGACCAGAGCAACAAGGAGATAGTTCAGTACATCAAGCAGAAATTAGAAGCTAATCTTCCTGCAGAGAGATCCATCAATCTGTTCTACTGTCTGAATGAACTGAACGACCAAACTCTGGTGAAGGAGATTCAGACCCACCTTAGCAAAGGAAGTCTCTCATCTGGTGACCTTTCACCTGCCCAGTGGTCTGCTTTAGCCTTTGTGTTGTTGACATCAGAGGAAGAGCTGGAGGAGTTTGAGCTTCAGAAATTCAAGAAATCAGACGAGTGCCTCATTAGATTATCGGCAGTCATTAAAACCTCCAAAACAGCCCTGTAAGTCTTTTAATATATTTTGTCATGTTTAGCTTTCATCTGAAAAATGCATTTATCTACATTACCCGTAAAGCTTTTTTGTTTGTGTGTGTGTGTGTGTGTGTGTGTGTGTGGAGAGTTTATCACAACTTAAGACTGTTGTGGCAAAAATTCATCTCAAACAAACATCACTGCGTAAGAGACACTCAGAGTCAAATTATATAAAATAGAAGTATTTATTCTTGCAAGAATAGGAGCAGTCTAATACACAGTTGTTACCCTGTGCAGAAGAGTGACACACCCCCAGACAGACTGAACTAGCTTTTATCTTAGTTTCAAGGCCTTCTTCCCCCCAGAGCCTTCCTCCCAGTAGTTTTCCATAGACGTCACTAGTTGGCCCAATAAGCCCCCCTGCACTAAGTGGCCTTCTGACATCTAGGTCAGAGGTCCTTGTTCGTCTGTTCTCTGGAGTGTCTCCCTCTTCTGCCTCCCCAGGTACATAAACAGAATCTTCTCTCACTACAAGTGAGAGACACACATGTGACATTCTTTGAATCATCTATATTTGTCTAAAGATCAATGAATATCATTAAAATTTCGACTACAACTCCTCACTTTTTTATCATTCTGATTACCCATAATCACAATAATAAACAATAAAACAAATTTTAAGTCATATCATCACACTTATACTCTTCATCTCTGATTTTTTGCATAAATGATCACTCTCCTTGAACCTGTGAAGAAAAGTTTAGAATGAAGAAGCATAAGGCTGTTTTTGTTGGGGAAAGGCCCCGTAATATTTTAGCTAGCAAGTAAACATTTTTACGACGCCGGGCTAAGCGAGAAATCACTGTTCCTGCGCTCCTGTAAACAGACCCTCAGTCACGCCAGTAAGGAAAAAGGTAGTTATAACATAGTAAGGAAACAAACAGATAAAAGTATAATAAAAATCACTCCGTTTCAAACCCTATCTTTGTACGCCATCTCGTAACACGGATGACCGCTGCTTGTAACCTTCTTTAAATCTTTTGCCCTTAATCTTTCTCAGAAAATAAACAAATAGAAGAAAAACAAACAGAACATACATTTAACACATATCTCACTGTAGCTCCCGCTACCTGTATCGTCACATAATTTTGTTCATCCTTGGGATAGACTGTCATTTTCACCAATTGAACAGACAGCATGTTTCACCTGTCACTGTAATCATATTCACCCATGAATAACAAAATTATTAGAATAACAATCCTAACTCCTATCATTAAGCCTTTTCCATTAATCTACGCCCATCTCCATATTTCACCTCGGTTTTCCTAACCATATTTTGTTCACTTCTAATTCAATTTGGTAAGCTCTATTTAATGCCATATTTAACAAAATCTAACCAGAGAAGTCTTATAATTTTATCCATTCTTCCAACCAATGCAGTTGTTCAATATTAACTCTAATATTTCCATTACGGACACATTTACAATCAAATCAATACCTAGTTTGATTCAATCAAACAAAATCATCACAAAAACAGATTCTTCTGTTAAACTTAAACCATCAGTTGTGTTGATCATCTCGTTCGCCCCACGGACGTTCCGTGTTCTTTTACCTTTAACTTTTAGTTCAAACATGCTGTGGTTCTACTTAATAAGCTTCAACAATTATCCCTACCATTTACATTAATTAATAGATCTTCTCTTCCCAAAAACATTTTCCTTAAATATTTCCTAATGAATAAGTAACCAATCAAATCTTTTGATCTGCTGTATATCAATACTAAGCCCTATTTTGATTTAATCAAATCAAATCCTCAAAATAATCACAAAACCACATTCTTAAACCATTAGTTGGTTCACATCCTCCTCCAGGCGTGTTGATCATCTCGTTCGCCCCATGGACTATGGGATGGTTGTGGCCTGTTGGTGTAGGTGAGAGGCTTGGACCCAGGTGTCACACTCTCCAACCATTTTCTGATCCTTATAAGGTTTTCCCTTATATCACGACCGCACCCCCACTGGAGTGAACTGTCATCTGTGAATGGAGACCTTAAGTATTTTGTTAGTGACCGCTTGACAGCCGCTCGTCCCCTTTGGTGTGACCTGTGGAATCAACAACTTGAAACATATTATCTTAATAGCACTCGGGGTCCTTTTACCCTGAAAAACACTCAACCCACTTTGCTCATGTCCACACAATATTTATACATTTGGAACAGAATTAGTTCTGTTTGATCCAATCCATCCTGACATTCTGTAAAAGGAAAATTTTAAGTTATGCGCTGCGCAGGTGTAGCACCTTTCTGCCACAATAATAACCCAGGCCAGGACAGTTAGCCAAATTCATCCATAACCATTATTTTATTGGCACATTTTGCCCTGTCTCCCAATCCTGCATGCTCTCTGTAAAGAGAAACAAATTTCGAGGCTATTGTCAGATAGTAAAGTACGCAGTTTCTTTTGTCTACTGTTCTCCCGTGTCCTTCGATGCCCTGGCGTTTCCTGTTGAAACAATCTTTGTTATTGGTGAGTGCACACTCACAGACATCAATTTTGTTAGGCAGAAAAAATGGCTTCTTTCAGGGCTTTTATCAAATTACCCCCAGTGTTCTCCCAACATTTATTCAGCAACTGTGAACCCCTTAATAAACCATATTTGGCAATTGTTATACCATCTCCCTCTTGATGCACGACACAACTCGAGCATCAATTTAACATAACATTTAACATAGTGTTTTTATAAAGTTTGCCATCAACACTAACCCAAACATTGTCCTTCAGACAAATTCCCTCCAGACATCTTTCTCTGCCTCTGAAACAAAAATATTACATTCTTCACTTAAAGCCACAATCTCATCTTCTTATCGAAGTATTTGAAAGGCAACGGCCCTCAGTCTCACATCGAATCTTGCTTTTCAGGCCTGTTGTTTGGTCTCTCAAGTCAGTCATCTACAAACATTTCCAAAGTCATCAATTTTCCCTATCAGGTCAAGTCGTGCTGTACAGACTTGGTCAATGTCAGTCAATCATTTCTCCCCCTTTGTTCACAATAATCATAAATGTGAGAGGCTCTCTTGATAATTTCATGTTGACTTAGCCAATATGTCACTTTGTTGTTTCCCTCAAATCTACAACATTTTCATTTATCTCAGCCCATGCCAGATGGTGATCTACAACTTTACTTAAACTGATCTTCAAATCTACATTATGTATGACAAAGCTTGATGGCCAATCAACTTAAAGCTTGTCCCATGTTCTGTATTGTCTTTTCATCTGAATTATCAGCTTCTTTAAAAGTTGTCATTTGCCTTAACCCATCTGTAATGATAAACTCATTCCAGAGGTTAATGACGCAATATACACACCATTCAGGCGGAATATTAGTGCCCCAAACTAATACATACAAGACATAAAGTGCTGTCACCATCACACACACTCGTACTAGACACACATATGTTAACTGTTCATTTTCAATGTTCATTTTTCTTTATATTATTGCTAAAATATTTAAATTTTAAATAAGATTTTAAACTTCCCATTTTCCGGTAGCTTCTACCTAATTTTACATGGTCTCCCAACCAGTTTCAAAGCATGTCTTGTTCATTATTCATTAGAATTTAACAAGGTCAGCTGGGTTGTTTTGTTTCATTATCATTATTTTGCTTCAGCTGGCTCTAGCAGGCCAATAATGGAAAGACAGACACAGTTACCATCCCTTCCTCTGCTCAAGCAGTCTCTCTCACTATAAATAAATAATCTTTTTCAACAGCCTTCTAAGGCTGTAACTTAGACATAATGTAATATTAAATTAATTACAATAACCTTTGACCATTCACCTTTGTTATCCAGGCTTTTCTTAAATCAAAAGCTGTCTTCATCTTTAGCCACCACCATGTCTAACGACCTTCAAGAGTTAAAACTATGTTATAACATATTAGTTCAAAATCAACACTATGATTTTCCTTGCCCGTAAGGCAACCAGTACATAAAAAGTTTTGCTACTGTCTCTACAACAACTAATGGGAATCACTCAATGGCCTCAGCTGGCTCCTGCTCGCCCACTCCTGTTAGCCCTTTATCTATAATCTCCATCAGGGTGTTTTCCCCTGGCATATTTGCAGACGCTTGTCACAATAAAAAACAAGCCATACAATGAATGCGGTTTCTTCTCGCGAGTGGTATGGAGGAACTCACATTTTCTGGGTTAGACTGCCGTAACTGTTCCTCACACCTCCATCCCTCTCAATGCTCTGCTGACCCCGCTGGCCTCCAGTAATCAGCGCTCAACTCTCATACCTTTCTCACATATAACACCTCCATCCCGGAGGTGCCCAATGTTCGTGACCCCCTGCGTTAGGCTGTCCCCTGGCCAGGAAGATCAAACCCGTCATTGAGTAGCCACTCGTACACACGTACACACTGGTGACCGCTCTTTCCCATCACACAATCAGTTTTCTTCAACAGAACTCAGCTGTTTTCTGGAGCTTAGGAAGGGCACGTTCAAGAGTCACCAGAGCCATTCCGATTGCCTAATAGTGTTCACACAGGGAGACAGGTCAATAACAACAGTATTTAATCACTTAAATCCATTAACCATCTTAAAAGCAGAAACCTAGCTGCTTGGATTATACTCAGTGAATTTAGATCACAACCGTACATTCAGTGTACTTCATCTGTAGCCGGAGCCATCGGTCCTGAATGGTGGAGACTAAATGAGACAAAGAAGTTACTGGTCCTAAAATAAGCTAATCAAAATGTCATCTCTATCTGTATTATTATTTTAAATACTTCTTTAAAGTCATTCAGTTTTATTTTTAAAACATCTCTGTGTCTATGATCTTTCAACTGAAACACTGTGCTTTACACATTATCACAGATACCAGCTTTTAGCTGACTCATTGAATGAGAGAGACTCTGAGACTCTATTGGATGGTACACTGCTCTCTAATACTTCTAACATCAAACATTTATCTATCATTTTTTTAACTCTATCCCAGCTTAAGGCATCTTTGCCAGAAATTACATATGGTT